AAGCCACCCCTGTAGCCCCCCTGCTACCAAAACCTTGCCATGCAAACCCAACACATTGAGCCATTCATTTCATATTAATGACACATGAGTTCATCAGATTTCCTGAACTGAAGAGGCATCGTGCTGGAATGCCACAGCATCCAGCTCTGAGCCTGCAGGTACACAGAGAAAATTTGCCACACCACCAAATGACACAGTGGCAAAGAGGCGGTCTGCAAAGTTTGCAGATGCAAGTTGGATAAACAGAACGGTGTTAGCTATCCCAGCCCACATGGCTAACCTTTCTGACAGTCGATAGCTTTGCATCATCACGTTAGTCCGTTCAAATGTTCTGTCATTTATGTGAGTAGGGGTTAAATATGCACACCAAAATCAAGGCAGGTATTTGTGAATGAAGGCTGACAGAGGTGTGGATTTGATCCACTGCCAAGGTTTTGTAAAGATGATCTGACCTACTGCTAGGTTACTGCTCTGTAGATGTAGCTCAATACAGGACATGTTAATCATGTCCTGCACTGGGCCAACACAAGGATATGTGTTACTAGCATACAGACACACACCTCTGGTGCATATGCCTGGCACACTGCCCGTTTTGCTTAAAATTTGTAGTGTATGAGGCCAGGCAGAGTTGCTGTAACCATCTGGTCAGCTTTCTGGCAAAATAGATGGTCTTAGAACTTTCTTGCATTGACAAAAAAAAAAAAATTCAGAAATCATGAATCGGTATGTTTTCCTCTGCACGTTGTCCCCCCCCCGAATCACAAGATTGCAAATCACAATATTTTAGGCTGCAAGAATGGATTTTTAGGTACTTTAATGAGTAGTTTCTGGCCTTCAGGATGCTCATGAGTGTCTTCAGAACAATGGAGGTTTTAACTGACCTTTAAAACAGGCTGTACCCACAACCTCTGGAACCCATGATGCCTAGTTTCTTTCTTACAAATTTGGGTTTCCTGACTGAATTCTCTGTTATCTAGTAAGATCCATGTTCAGAGTGAAGCCTTTCCCATGACTGGGCCCTTCAAAATACCTTCCCCTTTTTAGATTCTCTGGTATATAATAATGGTTGAGATTAGGTCCAGTCTCTCCCGCTGTGGAAGGACTAATAGGCTCTCCAGCTGCATCCACCTGCCAAATATCATTCTCCCTTATAAGAGCTGCCAAGGGCAGAAATCCTGTACGGCAGTGCAGCCTCATTTGGTCAGCTTGTCTTTCAGGTTGCCAAAAGTTCATCTGCATGATTAAACAGCCAAAAGGTTTAAAACTGGCGCAGCAGAATGTGTAAGTTTGTCTGACAGATTAAAGCAAGTTTTCAGTAGTCTCGTGAAAGGAAAATAACATTTTCAGATTTGATGTGAACCATATTATATTCATCTCTCTTGAGTCCTTCTTTGAATATTTTTTCACAAGCTACTACATCAAGAAGGGCACACTTAAACCCAGCTGATGTGTTTGAGTGAGATAAGGTTTGCAAGATTTTCAATCTTTTTAATCCCATCGGGTGCTTCCTCTATTTAGGATGATTTACAGTTTCTCATACCGTAGCCAATTTAGCCCGCAAGGCATGGTTAACAAAGCATCCCCTATAGAATGATAAAAACCATTCTTCCCCTGTACGCATAGACTACAATTTTGTCGAGGTACATCATTCTCCATCTGAATCCAAGGAAGGGCTGTCGTATAAAGTAGAGCTGCGTTAGTTCAACCGGTTAAGAGAGAGCCCTGTAACAAAGGGTCATTATGGGTCCTGCCTTACTCTGCTGCTATATGATAAGGACCAGAGTAAATTAAATTTCCTGTGACCCACCTGCAGTTGGAGGAAAATTTATTGCTTAGTCGCTGCTACAGCATATGGATTTGTCTCTCCCTGTGTACACAGACATGCAGTAAGTATGCAGAGTCCCACTGAGGAGAACGAGCCTGTTGTTTTGCAACAGCCCGTTGGGAAAACAGGCTGTTTCAGGGGCACCTGCAGCCTCCAGAAGGAAAGGGAGTTAGCTGGGTAGTGTGGAAACTTCTGTAAATGGGTCGAAGAGTAGTGTTGTTAAAAGCCAGAAAGTAGGTGCACACAGCGTCCTTTTTGAGCGGACAAATGGTGTCAATAGGCAGGCAAACCAGAGCAGCTCTCCTGCTCGTTAATTCTGTCTCTCATTCCACCATTTCCTGTTCATTAACACCCTCCTGCGTTTCCCCTCTCTGCCGGAGCACGTTACTCGGACTCAATCATTGTCTCTGAAAGGGAAGGGTGTTGAAAGAAAGCCAGAGCAAGACCTCGCATTCCCCACCTCTCCCAAGCTATCTTTCCTGCTAGAAAGAAATGGAACAAGCATTTTACACCTCCTTGGAAAGATAAATGTAAGTCACGTTTAAGGAAGGTATGTGCCCTCCAGCCAGGATTTACCTTTGTGCTGCTTACTCTGTCAAGAAAACTTGTTTTTTCTGAAGGGACTGTCTCACCCACCTCTGAATCTCACCCATGCTCCAAATCCTTCAGGAAGAAATAAACACAAAAGTCTGGTTTTGTTTTAACTGGCTTTTGTAAGGAGGGCAATTTGTTTCTTTTGCTTTTTGTAAGTTTTGATATATTTTAAGTGGGACTGTTACACTTGGCTGATCGTGGTGGCAGCTTGATGGACTGTATGAACACACAGGCAGATAGACGGTATCGTTGTCCTCCGAGGACAGTAGCAAACGCCTCCCTTTTGATAAGTATCCATTGCCATACCGCAGTCCATGTTTCTCAGTGCACTGCTGGACCACAGGGGTGTCGCCTATGGTCCCAGGCCCTCTCCAGCATGGACAAAGGGCCAGAGGACCTTCTCTTACACCACCCTTTGAATCAGGGAGTCAGGTGTAGTGAGTCCCTACAGAGATAACCAAAACCATGTGCAGGGGAGGGAGGGTTTGTGGGCTAGACAGCTCACACGGTTTGGCCACAAAGCCCTGTGTCTGCTGGGATGATACGGAGCTGCCAAGAAGTACAGTCTGCAACCTAGCCTTTTTATCCATTAGAGGCACCAAGAGTGGCAATGTCATGTTAATTATTTCATCTCCTTTATCCAGACCAGTTAGTACTGGACTTGTTTTCCTACACACTACCATTCCACGGGCTGGGACTGTGGAACCACAGTCAGGCCCCCAGCTTGAGCGAGCCCTGGTGTGTCCCAGAGGGCTGCAAGTGCAAGACCAGGCTGATGGACCACACAACCCAGAGCTGCTCTGCCCACGGTTGCTTAGGCTGACCCACTGGACTTAGTCCTTTCACACAGAAACACTGCCCGTGGCCTTTGGATGGTTTGATATGGTTCTGCCATAAGACACTGAAATTAAACTCACCATCAACCGGTACCATAACATGTGCTCATGATTGTAAACACCTTGATCTAGGTGCACTACCCTTTCATGTCAGCTTTGCATTAATGCCCTCAAAGCCATGTAGAGGTACAGAAGTGATACAAGCAGCAAGGAGAAAACCGATGCTGTTCACACATTCAAGTAATTTCTTAGCAGAAACAGCATTCCCAAATCTGTGAGACTTCTCTTGGCAATTTACTTTCAGCTTTATTCCAAATGGTTCCTGCCTGCCCAGCCCTGCACAGTTGAGTAGCCATGGGGTGAGCATTGTGGTGAGGGACACCCAGGGCTTGTAGTGCTTTCATTCAGCGTTAGCTTCCAAAATGTATAGGGATGGATGGGGAAGTGGGGTGGTGAAGAACAAAACCAAAAAAGCCGCCATGCATTATTTAGGACAAATGGACTTGATTATAGATCCTGAAGGTGCTGTAAAACTGATGGATTACAGGCTCAGCATTTCTGGGATTTGAGCTGTCTGGCTTCCACTGTGCTTTCATTGTGTCAGCTCCTTCTCTTTTCATTGCTTTTTGCTGGAAACATTGCACCGGAGCACAAGTGAAGTGAAGCAGGTCCTAACTAGACCCAACAGCTGCCTTTTGTTGCTGCTGTGGAAACAGCTGTAAGGGGGTAATATAATCACTCTTCTGTTACCAGTCAGCTGCATATCATAAGCACCTTTCTGGGATGCAGGGGACCTGGAGGCAGCTCCTGTGGTGATGTAAATGCTAATTGGGCCCATAGCAGGCTATTTTGTGCCCCATTTGACATACTAAGCACTTGTTGCTCTGTCCCGTGAGGGCAAGGTTGACTGAAGAGATATTCTGCGCTGCATTTATTACAATGAGACTTACATTTCATTCATATGCAGGAGGGATCTTTGCACGGGTTCCTGTAGTGGAAGGAATGGTTTCTTGGCTTTTTGATCTGTTTCTCATATTTTGTGCAATAAAGCTTTACTATGATGTCAGTCAGCTCAGGCTTGGAGTGCTCACACTTGGGATGTTGGGGGGGGTTTCTTTTTCTACAAATAAGCAAGTTTTGGATGGTTTTTGTTTACAAAAAACAAACTCGCCTGGACTCACACCAGTTCTGTATTTTTCTGTCTGGGATTCCTGATTTAAAACCACATTTGATGGAAGAATGTCTAATAAGTCATAGAAGAAATCATACAAAGAAAAATTTAACAGCTTATCATCACAGGTCATAGATTGTAATGGGCAGAAACTGGATATACTGATTCACCAAATAGCCTTTGTAGCTGTTTTGATAGTATGTTTTCTGCTGAGGTGAGGTGGAGTATTACAGTATTTCAGTGGCTAAATACTGTGTTTGATGGAGTCAGTCTGTATCAGAACATGCAACTAAAGATCACTGAAGGTGAGTCTTCAGGGTGTTCTTTGGTTTGGCACAGGAGAGCATATAACATGTCAGCTGCACGTATGGGTGCTGTAGGAGATGGATCAAGAAGAGATCCATTATTAATCAGAGATGGAAGGGGTGCTGTTAGGTATCTGCTCAGAAAAAAAGAAATAAATTAATAAATGTAAGAAGCTAAGTCAGAAACAAGGAACAGTTGCTGCCTGTGTAAGTTTCTATGCTGAATGTCTTGAGTTACACTTTATTTACTCTGTATTTTTACATCCCAGGTTCAGGTTCAGCGGTCGTATTCTTGGCCTTGCTCTCATTCATCAGTACCTTCTTGATGCTTTCTTCACAAGGCCATTCTACAAAGCACTACTAAGGCTGTAAGTATAAGCATGCAACCATGCAGAAACCGTGCAGAAACAGTGATCCTGCAGTGATCCTACAGAGACACAGACCCTTACGGAGTTGCTTCAAGCACTCTGACCTTCAAGTCCTTTCCACTGTTGGTTGGTTGGTCTGTGATAGCAAACAAACGCATTTTAATTTTTCTTTACTTTTTCTAAGAATTTGCCGTTCATAAATATTGACTGTGTTAATAAAAGTTCATAATAAGTATGATACTTAGGAACACACATTTGGAAGTACTGAGATGTAATTCCAGAGTTTACTACTGATGAAAAGTTGTCAAACTTTAACTACGTGGAAGACTGAAAAGCATCTTTGACGGAACAAAACAACAGCAAAAAATGGAGGGAGGGTCATATTAAGAAAAATACATAATTTCTCATGCCTCACTGGTGGAGTTAATTTTCATTCTAAATACAATTCAGGTTAATAAGGAATGCTAATGTAGATATAAACAGTGACTATTTCTTGTTGGTCTTCTACTGTCTTTTACACTAGTAAGCAGAAGCTACCAGTAATATATTACTTTCAATGTTGAGTTTATAAGATTAACTTTAATTGACAATCTGTTGCTCTTTAATTAATAGACTGCAATAAGACAAGGTACATAACATTTGCAGGAAAAAGAAGAGCCATAAGTAGTAAGTCAAGACTGCACTTAAGTGACAAAGAGCAGAATAAAGCTTAGCTGAAATAGTTTATCATTTAGGATGACTCCAAATCAGCAAAGATATTTGCCTTAACAGTCCTTCAAGTTCCTTAGCTGTATTTAACTTTATTTTTTTAACAATGAGTATTGCTGGGGTCCAAATACTCATATCTATATTGCATCTGAGCTAGTCTGGAAATAGCCTGAAACCTGGAGCGCTCCCTGCATCCTTATTGTCCCTTTAGGGGGTTTGAAACCAGACTGCTTGTAACATCCACCTGCCCTTTCAGCAAGCAAGGACAGCTCCTTATTAGCAGAAATTTAGGATGCCTGGTCTGTCTTATGTCAGTATTATGTGCTCATCTCGAGGATGATAGATACATGGAAGCAGCTAGACACAACATGGTGGGGCCCATCCAGACTGGAGGTAAGCATGCACTCTGAAGGGCACTGCATCCTGAAGATTCACATAAAATCGAGCCCCAGGGGTGCCTTCCGACAGCAAATAGTGCAGGCAGCCAACAGATTTGGCCTTGAGCCCAGCCACGCAAAGCAGACAGTTGCAGAACTGCTTTAAGAGGGTCTGTGTAACAATCTTTGATGTTAAGAAAACCAAACGAACACCAGCTTTATGTTGGACCTTTGGCATAAATTTGTTCACATTCTTAGTAGTAAGACATCCTGCCGATAGTCATGGGGTCATATATTCAGCTACATCTTTTTTCTTGCCTCACAATCAGGCCATGTGATTTAAGTGACTTAGAGTACCTGGATGAAGAGTTCCATCAGAGCTTGCAGTGGATGAAGGATAATAACATCACAGATATCCTGGATCTCACCTTCACAGTGAACGAGGAGGTGTTTGGACAGGTGAGCACAGCTATGCAAAACATCTGAAAAGCAAATTTGAAGCTGACAGAATTGAGCATGATGAACATCTTTCTGTCAGAAGAGATCCTTTAGCCTTTCAATAACATTTTCTCCTCCTGCCTTCTGTTTCTTTCAAGCCACCTGTTTCAATGCAGATGTTTATTCTTAGGGTGTATAATATAAAATACCAGCCCCCCTACAGGCCTATTGAGCCACACACTGATGAGCATGAGGAATTCTCTGAAGTGGAGTGCAGCTCTTCTCTCCAGGGTGTAGTTCACACAGATGTGGCATTTGGTGAATGCAAGCAATGTAACTTAAAGCTGATGTGACTGTAAGAATGGGGGGTTAGGAGGGAAGAAAAACATTTGGCAGGTGGTGTAAGACCTGGCAACTCTCACCATTATTTTGTCTGATATGTCCCTGTTAGATTCTGTGTCTCTTACTTACCTTGCACCTACTTAACAACTTGGTATGTACATCCATTTATTATGCTTTCTACCACTCAACTCTACCTTAGTCAGACAATTCTCTTTAACCTAGCTGATCTGGATAACTGTAGCCTTAAATAGGGCACAACTCGGGCTTAAGTGCAGACCGGCAACCAGAACAAGTGTCTCCTGTAGGATTCTTTGGCTTACACTGAAGCCCTGGTGCTCTTTGCTATTGTAACCCATGCTAGATTATAACTGTCTCTGGAAAGCCTCGAAGGGACCCAAAGCAATATCTGGACCAAGATTAAGGACTCCAAGGAGGTACTGAAAACTGGAGAGACTGAAGATCCAAGTACTGCAGAAGCTCAAGGGATGGAAGCTAACTTGTGTAAGGAGCAGACACACACTCTCAAAGGGAGCAGAGAGATCAGGTGGAATAATAATCAGGTGGAATATACAGAGAGTGGCTCTTAGCCCTTGAAAATAAAGTTGACAGTAGGAGTTTGCACAGAGCTAGGGTAGCTCTGCAAGCTAGGGGAGAGTTAGACTAGTTTCTGATGGGAGGAATTCTGGCCTTGAGTGTAAAAGGGCTGCTCCGCTATAAGCTTGAAAGTAACAGAAAGCAAGCAAGACTTCAGGGGCTGTTTTCAAAACTGAATTTAGTCTGCTTATAGTACAAAGTCATGACAGATGAGCAGAATCAAGAGTGGATGAAATGAAAAGGATGGGGCAGAAGAATTGAAGTAAGAAGCCTCTGTGGGAAAGGTAACACTGTTTTTCCATAGACTTAAATGCAGGGGTTTTTCATGGGCTTTGAGCTGAGAGCTTGCATGACATTCAATTGACAGTACAGTGGTTTCCCTGGAAGGTATGGCTATATAAGACTAATACACAAAGACAGACAGAAACATACAGACATATTCACAAAGACAGATGAGACAAGTCTGTATTTATATTGGAAGACTACAAAAATTAATAAGAATCTCAACCTGAATTACCCTGCTGCATCTGAAGGTAACATTTGGCACACTAATTACGTGTTATGCTCTCCCCAAAGAAAAGAGCTAGGCAATTACATAGGAGTCTGTTGTGGAAGATAAGAGACGGCTCCAAAGAGAATAGAAAAAAATGACAATCTGTTGTAGATACTGTGATATGAAAGCAAAAGAACACTATAAGCCATATTTTTATGCCAGTTCATATGTTGTCTAGTACTTTATTTCATATGGACTAGATACTAACCTTGCTAGATCTAGTGACAGGGAAAAAAATTGTTCCCGCTGTGAATTATGACTGTCAGAATCCAAGAGTCCTAAGTGAAAGTGAGATTTTCCCCCTTTTGAAATTTGCTAAGTGCTGACAGCAAAATAACGAAGAAATCGCAATCGCATTTTATGCTCACAGATGGATCCCAGTTGGAAATTCTTGCATGCCAAGAGTATCTGACCACTTAAATGCTATCTGAACATTGCTTTGCTGGATACATGTGCAAGTGTAGATCACAGTGGGAGCTCTGCTAATATTTGGGAAGCTGGATTTCAAGGGTTGGGTAAGGGAAACAAGAAATAGTGGCTCTTTGAGAAGCTGTGCAGTAGATGGGTTACAGCCCTTTTGTCCTCCTTTCACAATGACTTTATTATGGATCAGTCACTACTACTTTCATTTTTTCTTTCTTGTCTTATCCCTGATGTGTATTTAGCTTTTAAGCCTTTCGGACCAAATCCTCTTTCTTGGTACCTTTCTTATTAGAATTTCCTACTGAAAAGCTCTAGCCTTCTTGCATACCGGAGACCAGAGCACTACTGTAATATCAAAGATACCACGTCAAACCAAGTGTCACACATTTTTACTAGTGGGGACTGGATGCCAATTTGAGAATTTCCCTTATGAGACTGAGAGAGGTGTCGGTTACTTGTGACCCTAAGTACTTTCTCATGCTTTTACCCAATAGAAAGTGTTCCTCCAGGCCTGTCCCCAAGCGCTATATCTATATGTATGGATAGGGCCTATCTCCCGAGCCCTGGCAATTGCTCTGGTCAGGTGAAAGGAGTGGGCTACATTGGTTGAAATGTCTCTTTGCTACTCTGAAACCTGCTTCTGAATTCTAGCTTGCAGCTGTGGTTAATGGCTCTATGAACAAGAAAGAAAAAATAGGGACACACTGTTATTGATTGCCTGCCTCCAATTCTAGATAACTAATTGTATTTGAAATTATATGGATAATGAGAAGTTGAAGAAATCACCAGCATGTCTAGGTGTTTGTGGGAAGTCTTGCAGGAGATTTAGAACATTTGGACTTATGGTTGTGCTTAAAGCTAGACAGTGTTTAGTCATTGGTTTTGACAGATGTATCTTAATGCCACGCAGGCCCAAAGAATACAGCATGGCAGCTGGACCAGAGTCATACCTTCTGATCAATGCAGCGTTGCTTGTATAATGGTGATGCGGTGATTTACATTTGGGAATTTAACCTGAACCGGCTAAGAATTCCTAACTCATTACATCCAACCTTACTTGTTCTTGCTGTTTCTCAACAAAGCTACAGATTAGATGACTCATTGAGTGTTTCCATAATTCATAATGTTACAACAGGTCCCTCAACCAAAGTGACCTAAATATTATATACGCTGGGTGCTGTCTGTTTGGCTAATAAATAGATAATAATATAAATAATATGTAAATAATACAGGTAATGAATATGTATTCATGCAGCTCATTTACTATCTGTGCTAGACATCATTGTTATAGCACCAGAAAACTGAAGGGGAGAGCAAAACATTCTTCCTTTTAAATCCACTAGATTGAATGTGAAAATAATTGCAAGATAAATATAATTTTCTGTTACATGTGAGAAGTATGTTCTTGCTGGGTAGAATCTAGACTGATTCCTTAAATCCCTTCTCAATCTTAAGCCCTAGTAACCTAAGGCAACTAAATTAATCATTAAAATGCAACAAAATGCTGTTGCTCTTGGTTTAAAAAAGAAGTTATTTACAGTACAAACACTTCTCAGGTTTGGATAGCTGATGCAAAACTCTGAATCCCACAGTGACTATATTTGTCATCTGTGCAGGGTGCTGTACAGGTCTTGTTTAGGTAGTGTATTGGGAGTATTCACTTTGTGATAGTTTCTTTGGCTATTGGCATTTCTGAGTAAACACTTTTACTAGCACTTGGGGAAGGGTAACACTTGTTGCCTAAGAGACAAGTAGATATCCCTTCCAGTTGGCAAAGCAGTCTGCCTATTCCAATACTGTGATTGCCTCTTCATCCTGTTGTTTCCCATACCGTTGCATGGATAATCTACAGCAAGTAGCAAGGTGGTATGGTTGTCACCCTCTCTGCAGCTCCTAGCAGGGGAAAGGAGAGGAGAATGGTGAAAAGATGGGCCAGAGTGGCACATTGTACATGGCTTACAGATGGTGCTCTCTGAATCAATCTTTGTTGGTACAGTTTGGAGCAACCTAAAAGTCAGTGCAGCTTCACCTGGGGATAAGGTTAGGGCTGAGGGGGTGTCCCTCATTATCCTTTTTGTTTCTACTGCAAATGGACAAGAGGCCAGGAGTCCAGAACTAGACATATGGCTGTTATATTTTCCACTTACATTTTTGAAGTACAACTTAAATTTGAAACACAATGTGATCCATGCATTGCTACACCACTGTTTATCTTTGTTCCGTAGGTGACAGAGAGAGAGTTGAAATCTGGAGGGGCAAACACAGCAGTGACAGAAAAGAACAAAAAAGAGTACATCGAGAGAATGGTTAAGTGGCGAGTGGAACGAGGAGTGGTTCAGCAAACAGAGGCCCTGGTCCGTGGCTTCTACGAAGTAAGTAACAAAACGATGCTCCCACAGTCTTCCATTCCTCATCTGAATGAGATGTCCCAATGGTTAAACTATGCTTCATCGGTACCCTAGGAAATAGCTGAACAGATGCAAATGGCAAGGAATTGGAGTGCCTGGATCTGTAGAGACAGGGACCTTGGATATGGTATGTTTAGCATGAAAGGAAAAAGGACAGAAATGTGTATTCTGAATAAGATAAAGCATAGCGATCAAGAGTTAAGAAAGATACTGCTTTCCATTCACATAGTAAGAGAAGTAGGCATTAGCAAATTTTGGTTTACCCTGCTGTGATACAAAAGAAGATTGTGAAGAATTGTATGCTTCAGTGAGGAGCTGGTACGATGCACTGTATCTTTAGTGACTCATTCCAGTAAAGTTGATCCTAGGATGCAGTCAGCTATTATCTTACTGGTACTCATGGATGCTGCTCCATTGTTGTCCCTGGATTTTGCTAATGTATCTCTGCTGAAGGCCTGGATCTGAGAACATCCTTCTGGCAGAGCTACTACAAGGACTGCCAAAGACTGGATGAAAACCTGTGGCTTTGCTGACCAGCCCATGTAGTCACTTATTCTTGCCCCCCTAACTAACCATATTCAAACATGTATCTTGCCCTGGCAGCTGTATAGCATAAGTAGAAGTTGAAGACTGTCTCACAGAGGGAAATAAACTAAAAGAGTGGCAACCCTGGAAAATGAAACCGCAGATAATGGACACGCAGAATAGTACTGGTAACTGATGGCTCCAAGCAGTTCTGCACCGACATTTACTGGGGGTGGAAGACAGTGGGGGTGGCTTTGTAGCTGAATAGACTTGATCAGCCCTTTCCTGTAGGAAGGAGTTGGCTGAGTGACTCCATATGGTTTACTAAAGTGTGCATATGGTTCGCTAGCTTTTTCTCCCTGTGAATACTGCAGGCCATTAATGCTTTTGGTTTCATATAATGAAGAAAGTGAACCTCAGCTGCATCTTCAGTGGATGAAGACCTGAGGGCACTCCTACACAATTGTAATCAAATTCCAATGCAAAACAAATATAAAATAAATTGTCCATATTACAAATCCAGTCTTTGACTATCAAAATCACTTGTCAGAATGAATGTAACAATGAAGGATGTTCTGCACAGATTATGTCCTGTCACTTGTATTGTTTCATTCTGGTCAAATCTCATGTGTCATCATTGTTTGCAGCTCAAAACATCAGCAGACTCCCTGAGGAAGAGCACAGATTCATCAGGAGAGGAGTGGATGTTAGCTGTCAGCATGCAGACTTGTCAGAATAAAGAGCTGGCCATCAGAGCCATAGGTTTATGGGACATTGCATCTGCTTTATTTCCAGTCTGAAATTGTGCTTATAAGTGGTTTTTGTTCCAGGTTGTAGACTCCAGGCTTGTCTCTGTTTTTGATGCCAGAGAGCTGGAGCTGGTTATAGCTGGCACTGCAGAAATAGATCTCAATGACTGGCGTAACAACACAGAATATCGTGGAGGTAAACTGCCTACCGATGCTTACTAATATCTTGATGGTTTTCAGTTTAAAGCTTGAAAGACTTGGTCTACCTTTCCCTGCTGTCTTTCCTGAGGGAAATGCACTATTTTGTTCAGGAAGTTTTTGTGAAATAACTCACGAAATAAAATAGTAAGATCTCAGGTTTGGATCAACAGATGTTAATAATACTGAAACTGCTTCTGCTACCTCTATCCAGATTTTACCCACTCAATTGCTACCTACTTAACAGGAGTTTTGACTGTTAAGGACCCAAAAGGATTTGCAGTATTAGATCTAAAAGTTACTTACTCAGATGACTGTGAATGAACTTCTGGCCTCACTGAAAGTAATATCACAAGTCCTCTTGGCTTCAGCGAGGAGCTGAATTCAAGAGCTGAATTTCACAGTTCCTAATTACACTTCAACAAAATACAGATCTTACTTAACTATCCCCTCAGCTTAAACTATGTCAAGTTGGATTTTTTCCCTTCTCCTCTAACACTTGGCCTGGTTTTGCTTTAAACGCTGAGCATGATTTATCCAGGCTGTCTTGGATGATGGATAAATATGAAATCCACCAGTTCTGCACTACAAAAGGAAAGTCCCTGAGGTTCACATATCCTCCCCTGAAATACAAGGTTTAAGTCTTTGCTGCTCGCTGCCCAAACCTTTGTGTTACCTTGAAATACGCAGCTTACCACAAGCACAGCTGGCCCCCCAAGTTATTCTCCTCCTCCTTTTTTCTGTTTAGCTATTGAAACAGATTCAGCCTGGGTTTAGGCTGGCTTTCACTAGCACAAACGCACAGAGCCCTTCAGGTGGGAAGTTTGCCAGGGAAGGGCTTGCAGCAGCAAACTCCTCTCCATATGTTGAACAATATGGCAATCCAAAAGAGAGTTTATTTGGGAACCAGAAATCGGTAAGTCATTAGGACTCACACTGTGTGGCATATTGCAATTGGTCTTTTATATCTCATGCAGGTAACCCCAGTTCTTGCCAAGGGATTTGTGAGAGGCGAATGTACCTCAAATATATATATATTTGACTTTCAGGGTTTCAGATGAGTTAGTAATAGTATAGTATCCACAGCCAGGACAAGATGGGGGCTGGGACCTATTGCTCATCAAGAACAAGATACATTGTTGGGTCATTATTTTTTCAGTAGGAGATCTACTTCCCCACGCTAGTGGGAAGTTATTTCGATGTTACACTTCCCACTTAGAGGGGGTGATTTTAATTTCTCTCTGTTGCTTCTTGGTTTAGGTTACCATGATGGACACATAGTAATACGGTGGTTCTGGGCAGCAGTGGAGAGATTTAACAATGAGCAGAGACTCCGGTTGTTGCAATTCGTCACTGGAACATCAAGCGTGCCATACGAGGGCTTTGCAGCTCTCCGAGGGAGCAATGGGCTGCGGCGCTTCTGTATAGAGAAATGGGGGAAAATCACCTCCCTCCCAAGGTATGTCCCAGCTAGGATACAAAACCAGAAGTGCTGTGAGAAAGGTGAGCCTGGTGCTTTTTTGCATCTGTCTGCCAATGAAAGATAATGAATACAGTAAGGACATCTTAAAACAGTAAAGAAACAATTATCAGTTTGTTCTGTAATTATAGTCAGAAAAAAGTGTTTTCTTCTGCTGCCTTTTTGATTTGCAGGCTCAATTTATGCTACTTGGAATCCTGGGAAATGTTTAAGATAAAGATTTCCATAGGTCCAAACCTAGTTCTCTTATTTTGATTCTGGAACAGATCCAGACCAGCAGGAGCCTGTCAGCTGATTCTGTTCCCTTTACTTCCAAAATACTAGTAAAAATACTTGTGAGTTTACAGAGCCATGAAAGCCGGAATCTGTGTCTGAGTTTTGGACAGAGACCTGAGTGTAATCCCTTCATTTGCTCTGATGGTTCCACTTTTTCGTCATGAGGAAGCTTAGGGAAGGGACTTCAGACCATGTGGTGATAATACCCAATATGTTATATCTAGTTCAGTCAGCCAACTAGGAGCAAATGAGCCATAATGTCATGCAGAGTCAACAGACTTCACAATGCTTCCCGAAGCGGGGGGTCATCTTCCTTTTCAGAACAAAGGGACTGGGGCATAGAGGGGTGGTCTGACTTGCCTAAGGCCACCCAAGAGAGCCATGGCACATTCAGCTTTGAGTTCTGCTCCCGCACTTTATCCGTGACCGGGACCCATCCTTCCTCACTGAAGTGAGTCACCTTTTCTTGAACATCCTTACAGTTGTCTGAGGCTCTGCACCATTGAGATTACAGGGCATTTTTCATGGGGCCACATCTCAGCACCTCTGAGATACTTTTGCTACGTGTCCCTTTTACATAACATTTGCCCTCCAAAGGATGCTTTCTTCCTGCTCTTATCATTTGCTTTCAGCTGTGGTCAGCCAAAGGCGGCTGCTTTCATGGCACAGAGAAAAAATGTCTTCTCACAGACCTTGTGGATATATTCAGACAATCAATTAACAATGGGTATGGTCCAGTTTTCTAGTTACTTGCCATCCATGTTATTTACCCAGAAGAATACTATAAGACATGGACTTGAGCAGACCTCCAGAGTCCTCTGGAGAGGGAAAGTCCAAATATGGTCACCCTCTTAGTACAAGCTTGCTCAAGTCCATGTTTATGCAGTGGGGAGACGCAGGAGCTGGACCAGGGCACTATATCAGCAGAGATCCTGAGCTGACATCTTACATCAACTCCCTCTAAAGTCAGGAAAAGGGAAGTAAGTGTTTTCAAGGCACAATTCATCTCACCTGAACACAGACTTTTAAAATAGCTCAGCTGAATCGCACCTGGTTCGTTCTGATTTGCGTCCATTGACCATAAAGACTCTACAGAGACTATATGGAGAACTAGAGCCTACAGGAAAGCCAGATGTAGGCACTGAGAGTTAAGCGCAGATGAAGACATGTAAGGTCAGTGAGGTGACTCATGCCCTCTGAGCTTCAGCCAGCACTGTGGGAAGAAAGCCTGAGAGGTGCAGTTCGCTATGCATAGGCCTGATCCTCCTTTTGCAGCATATATGTACTCTGGTTCTATGTTATTCCTGCCTGTAGGCAGGCAGCGAATGGAAGTCACAGACTTGTGCCGCATTTCTGCAGAGCTCTCTTTGCACTCCTTCCGGGATGGGAAGGGGTGAGAGGGGAGGGGGGACCTTGCTGTGTGCACAGAAAATGCCTTGGGGCTGACCCATCAATTCTGAAAAGGTAACTGGCCTCTTTCTGCTCTGCTTAACTTTCTTTGTGAACCTAGGCATTACTTATGACCTAGATTCAGTTAGCCCTGAGATATTCACATTAACGACTTTATGTTTGTCTGTTGATCTCCGAACTTGTTGCTCTCCCTGAAAGAGGCCTCTTTTCCAGGTGAAAGTTGTTAGCACCTTTTAGAAGTCTTAGAGCTCTGCATTCATTTTAGCCAGGGGAAAGAGAAACACCACTTGCTCATGGGGAATAAACACAGCTTGATCACTGTGAATTATTACCTGCATTTTTATAAAATTATGGGGTGCTGCCAAGTATACACAGTGTTAAGAAATACATAAAGCACACAGGCTAAACCTGGAGGCTCCCTAAATAAATGTTATTTTAAACTTTTTCTGAATGCCTGATTATGGATTGCTTGTGTTTATTTACGTATTTACTTAGACTTAGAGGCTAAAAAAAAAAGTCATATGTCATATCCTGTAGGCCTTTTGGCCCCTGTGATATGAGTGTAACTAACTTTAGCTGTTTAAAATAAACCACAACAAATTCCCTTGTCCTTCTAACAATTCCTACCACTTCACAGTGAAAGTTACCCTTGCTCCACATTTTCAAAGTCCTAGGGAAAAAAACCCAGTTTTCTCACATCTTGGCAATCATGAGATTTAGTCATTTATATGCTTAGGTGTGGATTGCACCTCTTAATTACTGGCCTTAGTTCTTAGGCCCTGACCCAATAAATGCGATGCTGTGAGAGCTGTTATGGAAGCTTGCATAAAGAATTTGCCTTTCCTGACATCCAGGCAGATGGTGGGTCACTGGGGATAGGTTAGTCTGGCCTTTGGGTTTTCAGCTGCTTTACAAAGTGTCGAGATAACTTTTAGCTCTATCAGAAGAGTCCAGGACTCTTCCTGTATTCTCTCCTGCTCCAGACGGCTGAAGTGGTTAGGTGACTCTCCCTTACATCTTGTCCTTACACTTTGGCAATGGAGCATGCAACTGCCATTTGCTTATAGTGAGAAAAGATGTGATAATACCTAAACCAGCCATGCTTCGCACTTGCGACAGCAACATGGCACTCCCAGAAAAGAGGCATGGTGTAAATTTCTAAAATGCAACACTTTTTGAAGAATAACCACTAGTACCTAACACCTAGAGTGCTTCTTGAAAGCACTGAGGCTAAGCAAGACTTTTTCAGGAAGGTTGAAAATCTGGTAACTTCATTCTAAATTTGTGCACTTGTTCATCAGTACCAGTCCGCTTACATGAACAGGATAAGGTGGGATAGAGTTCATTTTCATCCTAGCCAAAACCAGGGCAGTGGTGTAATATGTTCATGTAAGACAAATAATAGTTAGATTACACCAGTGGCTTATTTCTGGAGTGTGCGTGTGTACCAGAAACATTATTCCTATCTATATTTACTTTGAGTCCACACACCTTAGAAAGTCAAAGTACTATACAGCTTAGAGATGCTGCTCTAATCCCAGATCTCTAGACAGTGACCTGGAAGTAGGTTCCAAAGAGACTGCCAGATTTACAGATCTGTCAGTGTAAATCTGCAGCATGGTTTCTTCCAAACTGATGTAGCTCGTGGGATGAAATAACACTGAATAGGTAACAGGTTCGACCACTTCTTCATCAAGGTTGAGTTTTACTCTCCCTATCTAATATACAAAACTTTCTCCCAAAATAAAGGAGTTACATATTTTACTTCTTTTAACTGGTTGCCTGAGCAGCGATGGATGGAGAATTCTTCCAGCTGTAGCCTCTTCTGAAGCAGGAGGCCTCTCTTCACATTTCCTGGGTCATGCAGGTACTTAACACGGAACCAGTTTTAGCAGTAGTTTCGCAAGAACTTATTTTTTGTTCCCCACCAAACATTAATGAACAGACACTGGCTTTCTAGCTGGTATAACATAGCTTCATCTGATACTGTGGGAGCAGAACTCCTGGCCCAGAAGAAACCTGTGCAAAGAACTAGCAGTGTTTTCTACTGTAGCTATAGGAGACATCAGTTCCCTCTTCTTAAAACCTCAGCCTGCAAAAGTGTTCAGTGCCTACAAATGCTACTGCCCCATCTTCTGGTTGAGCTCCATTCCTGTCAGCTCCAAGGTTATTTCTGTTTGAGTATCAGTTAAGTAAGGAACTCAGTGTGTATGCCAGTGATTCAAATAATCACATTTGATGCAATGAGGTCACTTTCCCCATCAGTGCTGAGTTGGAACTAGCCTTTCATCAAAAGAGGTTTTCATTCAGTAGAGTAATATTAGTGATTACCACCATACTGTCTGTGGTTTACGTATGATAAAGATTACCAGTGCTAGTAACTATCTGATCTTTTGTAAGAGAATTCTGTCCTTCTCTATTAGATGATCAAGTATTTAATCACCCCAGAATCCCATATAGCAATTAAAAAAAGATTGTGTATGACTACAAAGAACTTTGTTCTCATCATTTCCTTCTTTCCCAGTGGACTGTGTGTGCTTTGCTGTCTTTTATCATTCCTTTATCTCCCATCCCTCTTCTCTTTCCTCTTTTCTCACATACAACAGAAATACCATCTACAAACCTACATTCATCTATTAAGCAGTGGTTCCCAGGCAGCATATAAGTGTTCCTTCTTACAGACAAAAGGAACAAAAGTTGATACCTGTGGGTCCTGAGGTTGGTCAAAGAGGGGTTTGTGGGTCTTACAGAAAGCAAGGTGAAAAGGAGAAATGCCCAGTTTCTGCCTGACAGGCATGGTTATGTTAGAATGCAAGTCTTAGTTGATAGGTTCAAGCTATAAATAAGACAGGAGGGGCTTCTGTGCACACTTACTGCCTTTGGACTCTCATCATTATGGGGATTAAAGGAAGTGACAAAGAAAAGAAGAATGCCAAAATCTTAAAAGCTTATACTCATAATTTTTGGAGAGAATTCTTAAAAGAAAAAAAATAGTACAGCACTGTGAACAGTGAGCAAGATTAAAGGTTCAGACCCACCAAAACTACTTTGAGCAGTAAAGACAGACTGCCAGGAAGAATGAAATTTTAAGTGGTCCATTTACTGCTTTACTTACTGGAGGTTGAGGGCACATGAGGGTCAGAGTTGGTACACAACTTTATCTTGCATTTCTTCTAGAGAAGCCAGAAACCTTTCCATAAAAGCTCTTACAATCTAGTTCTTAGTCCAGACCTCTCACTCTCTGAACACCCTCTCAAATGTCAGCAGGCTTATGTGGTAGGAGGCTTAATCAAGGGAAGAAAGACTTTTCTCATTGCAGTGACTGTTTCTGGCACTGCTGATGTAATGTTTTCACCCCAATACGTGCAGCAAGCCCGTTACTACAAAATAGCAAGTGTCCCCTGGATTATGCTTACTGTAGTCACTCTCACTGGGAGTAGGAGGAGGAGGTCAACACGATTCAGGAGGAGCTTACCCCTTTGGAGGACAAGGCACAGAGTGTGGCAACAGTGGATGTTATAGAAAATATCCTTGCCTCTTAATTGCCCTGTGTACTGCAGTATCACACAGCAATATGATATAACAGACTAGGGGCTGAGCAATTTGTCTTTAGTCGGTTTGGAAAATAAAGGTTTCAGCTTTCAGTTGCAAGAGGCAAAGGCACTATGCACAGCAGTACTGAGGAGAGAGGGAACACTGAGTGAGGAGTCCAAATCAACCCTCTCTCTTATTTTAGGTGAGGCAGAGTATGTTGTTTAGTTACACAAGTAGACACCATGTCTGAGCTTTGCAGCAAAGAACCAATTAGACCCCACTGCTGAATGTATACCAGACAATTTTGCACATAATTATCTTCTTGTAAGATTGAGTGGGCTTCGCTGGCATCTTTGGAGTTGCAGTAGATCCACATTAGTTTCATAGACCAGAATTTGAACTCAGGTTTCGCCCTTGCAAATATATTGTATTTTGCACCTTAAGTAGGTAGAAGTGTAAACCTAACCAGCATAGGGCTCCTGAAAATTAGTTTTCATTTTCGATTTGGTGGCGTTTTTTGGAAGGAAAGGATTTTTTTCTGTAAAGTTGCTGAACTGGAGAACAGGAGAGTGTTGCTTGGCAAAATGTTTCTAGACATATTAACTTTTTCTTCCTTTCTTTGTAATAGTTTCTGCCCACAATAAAGTCCTTGAGACCTTCTACAGAAGAGTCCACTTCTGTAAACCTCATAATAGGAAAAGGAATGGATCTTTCTTCTGAGTTTGGCTAGGTCAAGAATGACTAAAAGTCAACAGCGTTGCAAGGTTGTTTCATAACCAGTATGAAATGAGATGGATGATGATCAGTCAAGATGAACGTCTGCAAGACAGTAAACACCAGAGTCTGTGGCTGTGGATATGTCTGCACTGCACAATAGGATGCATGAGAGCAATGTCTAAGATGCTATGGTCTCATACAGTTAGATGTGTGACAGTTAAGTACCATACAGAGATATTACTATAGGCTCAGCAAAGTTATATTAGCAGAATCCACACCTGAGCCACCATGACTACGCTGCTTCCAGTTCTGGAGCCACGCAGCTGAGCTCCTCAAGACCGGCTGTCTCTGAATGGCGCTCTCTTGCCTGTGATAAACACGTTCTGAATGGACTACAAGAATCCTTCAGTTAATTAACTCCCAGTGGTTGATATGTATTGGCAACGGATTGTAGAAACAACTTATGCTGCCAAAGATTGCTGAGATAACAATAAACAGTGCAGGGCTACTCATGGATAATACACATGAGCTGCCATGTTTAATTTCAAGAGATGTATTAAATAATGGCTTTATTAATGTTCCTTTTTCACTAACTCACGTGTTCCCAGCTCATTTCCACAAATTCTGTGTTTATTGTACATTCTCTCTGAGAGTGACCAGCTAACAAATCTTCATTCAGAAAGGGAAGAAGAATGGTAAAAGCTCTCCTAATTGAAATTGTGTGATGCAGCGAAGATTACATGCCTCTGGCTATTCCAGTTGCCTGATTGCTTTTAATGATTCACCATTGGTGCTTGATAAAACTCTCCCTCTGAATCTGCAAGTCTCAGGCCAGCCCATTTACCAGTATCATGTTTTTCTCACTTTGTGGGTGGCCTAAGAGATGACTAGCACGGTTTCAAATAGTTTCTCCAAGATAGCTCTTCTGCTTCAGTTTTGAAGAAATAACATTGAATTAAAGTATGAGATAGAAAAGCTAAAAGTAGAACAACTTCATGGCTTCTAAAAATACTAGGGGCCAGGAGCTTAGTCATTGTTAGCCATTGAGGCTACATTTCCTTCTGTAGGGTTTTGTCAGTTCATATTTATCGGAGGGAGCAAGAGGAAACAGAAATATTTCTAGCATCATGTAAAACTCCAAGCTGACTGAAAAAAATGAAACCATTTTCATGAAAATGTGCCCCCCTTGTTTGTTGAATAAGCTCTACATTTTTTCAGTCAGTTGAAATGGATGAACTGTTGGGGCAGGGACTGTTTCTTTCCTCCACATTTGTATAGCACCTCACACAGTGAAGTGCAGTCTGCATCTGGGTCTAACTGCTGCTACCAGAAAAGCTGCAACAAGGTGGAGGTATGCATGGAACCCATTCCACAGCTTCTTTGGAAGGTGCTGCCAATTGGGGGTAAACATAATCATAGAACTGGGGGAAGAGAAGGTCATCGAGTTGGCAGCTTGCTCTGCACAAAATATTTTGCTTTTGCCTTGGCTACTACAAATAAATAACATGTAAAGGCCAGACTTGCAGCAGATGGCCAACAGCTGACTTACAGGAACATTTTCAGCAACCTTCCTTCTTCAGTTAGCAGATCCCTGAATGGTCTTTCACCAGTTAGCCCTGCCTCACTATAAACACATGCTGAGCCCATTCTGTCAGTATAGTTCATCACATTATGCTTGTCCACTGGTGCAAAACTTACTAGCTGCTCATGTTGGATGTACAGCCAAGTTGCATTTTTTTGGAAAAACTCAAAGCAACCAAAATTATAGTAGTGGAGTTTTCTCTCTGTCAGGGCCTAGACCCCAGCTCCTCAGTGACCTCCAGTGTTGTTCTCCATGAAGATCCCTGGAACATCTAATGCAGGGATAGCAGAGAATGATGTTTTGTTGATACTTAGTTTGTGTCTTCTATTTGAAATATTTATCTGTACATGCATATACATTTCAGTACCTCAGATTTTGGCAGAATTTGAGAGTTTTATTTTAATAGTTAGAATTTCTTTTTATCTCTCTTGAGTGAACTTGAATGTCTTGAGTCTCAGTAGGAACTCTCAGTAGGAACTTGTTTTCTCAATTCTTATTTTCTCAAGTTATTTAGATTAGACTTAACATGTAGCATATTTTCCTTTTGCAGGGCACACACATGTTTCAACCGTTTGGATCTTCCACCTTACCCCTCATATTCTATGCTGTATGAAAAGCTGCTGACAGCTGTTGAAGAAACTAGCACCTTTGGACTTGAATAAGGGGGTTCAGGCACTTCTGGTGTTTTTCTGGCTGATGATGTCACCTTTCCTGTCCACCATCATTTGATCTTGGTTTCCCATAGTTTTATTTTTGAAAACAAACAAACAAACAAACAAAAATCAAGATTGACAAAAGCTGTGCATGAAGAACTGCCGCCCTCTAGGATCTAACCTTCATGCTTTCATCCTGTTTCCAATGGACTGCTAGTCTGTATGCAATAGAAAAACAACTGTCTCAAGGTTTCTGTATATCTCTACATACCTCCATTAATAACAATGAAAATACAAATGCAAGTTACACTACACTTGACCAAATGTTAATAAATGTTTACTTCCACCTACGTTGATTAAAAAATAAAAAAAAACTCATCAAGCATTCCAAGCTTTTATATGCCCACATCTTCTAAACCAATTCACAGCCCATCTTACTTCTTAACTGTTGAATCCAGTACTAGGAGCTGGTCAAATATGTCTTCATCCATCCTTGTTTTCCTTGTATGTATTGTCCATCTGAGAGACACCTATGAGCAAAACTGAAATTTTTATATATGAACTCATGATCCACATCAGTTGCATCAGCTGGAACTGGCCCAGATACATGGTGCAGATAAGACCTTCAAAAACTAAAAAACCAACCTGTAACGCAATGCAAAGCATAACAGCGATTGTTATGATTGTTACTTGCCAGTACTGGAGAGAACTTGCACTTCAGAGATATTGGGAGGGGCATCTCCATTGTAATGTTTACCACACAAGAAGCACAAGGCTGTGCACACTCAAGAAGGATGTCTTATGTAGCATAAAGAACAAGGCTCCCTTACCTTAGTATTGTATATGACAAGGAAAAGGGGAAATAAGAAGAATGTCCTACTCTTATGAATACCCTTGGGTTTTGTTTACCAGATCTTTGTTTTCTGATGTTTAAAATGCTCCTTTCCAAATGAGAAGTCTAGACAATCCCATCCCCTGTGTCAGAAGCCATTTATTTTCTGTCAGGCTGGGCTCATCTATGGTTGCTGGGGACAGTTTTCGGTTCTGTCGTTTTTCTTTTCTTGTTCAGTGCAAATCTCCATAACCTCTAGAGTGGTTGTAGACAGAAGGTTTTAGTCTAGGGTGTGTTAAATGAGAAGCTGCAGTGAATGAGGGTGCTTGTCAGGGATGAAGGGGATTGTAACTCTTTTTGGGTTAAGAATTTGTTGTACGTCCTCTTGGAGTAAGCCCAAAGGCCCTCCAGTCATGTTAGGTACCACTAAAGATCTAGCTCTTATTACTGCAGACATAACCCTCTTCAGTTTGGTGTACTTTGCATTCCAACTCTGAAGCCGGGGAACGAAAGGAAAACAGCGGTAGGCTTGTCTTCGGATGGATTTTGCTGAGGCTGTTACAATCAACCACACTGCTCTGTTTCCTATTTATTAATCTTTGCTGCCCTTGTTTTCCAAGACTAATCTCAGATTGAAAGTGTTTGTCTTAACTGGGAAAAGGAAATATGGAGTATCTTTACTTCTGACACTAAATATGTTAAAGGATGCATGAAATATGAAGTGAGAGACTTGTGAAGGGTGAGTGAAGGTAAGTGAGAAGGTAACATCATAGTGTCTAGCAGCTCACATGAAATACCACACCCCCCTGGGGGCTTGTTACTGGTAGTTTTGTGTTAGCTATGCTTCAGAAAACTGGAAAATCAGGAGATCAGTTCAGTATCTGACACATCTAATTCCCATAAGTTTTCTCTCCAGAGAAAAGAATTGGACCCTGCTTTCCCATGTATTTTTATGGTGGCTATACAGAAACTCATCACACTTAAACTGCATTCTGAGAGTTTTAGATCATTTTCCTGCTTTGATTCTTAAGTCAGTAGGTATTTGAAAGGTGATGGACCCAAAAATATGTTTCTAAGCAGAAATAGTAGCTTTTGTTAATGATATATAAAATATTTGGGATATTTAAATTGCCCCATTCATTCGATTTCTGTGACATTTCAGCTGCTTTTATAGTAATTTACTGTATGGCTTTTACTGAGATTCTATTTTATAGTACATGTTGTTATTCTTATCGAGTACTCTTATTACAGTTGCGTACAGAGGCTGCAGCTACAGGCCAGCTTCTTTGTTCCAGACACCGAAAATTATGCTTATTATTTCCAGAAATGAGCTCTCAGGCATCATTCCACATTATCAGCCTCACTGCACAGTAGAGACGGAAAACTTAACTTTTTTCTGAGTGTGTCTGTCACATGCACATGAATTACATCAGAGCAAGTCACACCAGGAGAGACTGAACAACGAAATCTTCCAACGTATGTAATTTTTGCCTTTTCACCACCAGGCTCCAAAATCCAGTGATTCCTGTATGGTTCCTGTTTTATTCCTGGTGATGTTACAAAGTTACCTGCACTATGTCAAATGTTGGATGTCTTCTAACGATAGAAGAAAAGAAAGAGAAATATCCAACTGGTTGGTCCATGTTTTGCCAAGGAAAATAGTGCATCAAGAGCTGTCTCATTAACATGGTAAAAAAGTAAAAAAAAAAAAAAAAAAAAATATCAAATTTTTAAAATACTGTAAGATAATCCAATCTTTACAATACTGTATAGTTAAATTTTTTAAAATATTTAAAAACTATATTTTATTAAGAAAAAGTGAAACTATTTTTTGTAGCATAATAAAAGATGTTTGTATTTCGGAGACAGCATCAAACCCCACTGATTGAAACAAGGAAGGCTTTCTCCTGAAATTCTTCACGACATGTTCTGGCACTCACCACACACTAAGCTAGATTAGGTGTTACGCATCTCCATGTCCAGCAGATGCCATCTCAAGCACCTTGCACGTTCCTGCTCTGGGAAACATACAGCATAGCCAGCTACTTCCCATCAAAATCCTTGGTCCAAGCTGTCTTTCAAGCGCACAGCCTAGTATTTTTAAAAGGTTGCTTTCTTAGGTGACTGTGATGGCATCAAAATAACAAGGTCGTGCAAATTTCTTTGCAAGTTTTTTTTGGATGTAAAGCCAGGAATAGAGGAAGACAGTTGACTATTTCCATAAAACAAAGGGAAAGAAACTGCCATACTCTGCTTTTCTTGCATTGTGTCATTCCAGTCCTATCACTCTCTCTTCCCAAATGCCCTACCCCAATAGGTTTTCAAACACCGACATCATCTCTAGGATAATCTGGATCAATGCTTCACAGTGCATTTCTCCGTTCATTGCATCATACCATGGGCTGAATCCGGTCCCAGTCTGGAGTGAAGGGGAAGCCATGCATCTAAGTGGCACCGTAATGTTAGAGTAAGTGAGGCAGTGAATGGTGCTAACAGGAGAGAGGGAGGAACCCATCTCCCTTGCCCTGTTATTTAACCTGCCCGTTATGCAATTAATTGGCTTTGTTGTTGCAGTTATGCGAATGCAAGGCATATACCCTTCCTTGTTCACCTTTTGATTCAAATGCTGTTACTCACTCATACAGTCATCTGTGCTCTCCCCAGGTCTGCATTTTCATTTATAAAACACTGACTGTTAATTACAGAATTTCTGGTTTCATTGTTCTCCCATAGGAAAGACTAGTAGATACTCCATAGGGCAGATTTACAGTGAAATAATCAGTTCAGCTCCTTCACCTTAGTTCCCTTTAAACATGGTGGTGGCTAGATTAAGATACGACATCAACATCAATAGATTTTAAAATGCAAGTGAAAAATGGAATAGGCAATCTGACAGCTTTTGTGAATTGCAGTTTTCAATAGGAGCAATGAATATTGGTAATTTGTACATTTGGTTTCAGAGGGCCCGTATCTTTCTCAAAGTAACTGTTGTGATGGTATTAATGGTAGAGGGGAGGGAAAGGGATATTTCTGTTTATGAAGTCCTGTTGCCATACTAGCATTAAGCTGAAGCTATGAGAATGGAAATAGGTATTTTAAATCATCAGTAGGTCTTCCACCTTGAAGTAGTCTCACCGACTGCTCAACCACATAAGCTATGCAGGATTTGATCCAGTACAAACAAACAACTGTACTTTACTGTTAATTGCATCAGGTCTAAACCTTACAAATGCTGCCACTTCAGTCTGCAGTATGTTACATGAGTGTTCAGTTTCAATCATGTGGCTGTGCGTATTCAGAACTTGACTTTTATGTTCTAGGGAGATCCGTGGCTATCACAAGGCAAGAAGTGAGTGATCCAAACTACATCTAACATCTAATGGAGAAATCATGAGTTTTGTACAGGTCTGACACAGAGGACTTTTTTCACCCAGTTTGCTCAAGTGCCCGTGAACTTTTCATTGAACTGTAGCTAAGGTTTGAGTTCGTAGTCTAGTCTGAGAGACAGCCTCTGGGGAGCGGGGGTGTTTGTTGGCTTTGTGTTTTGTCGTTCTAGTTTCACTGTAACAAATAGTTGACATACCTCTAGTTGAAAACAGTAGGGTACTGAATTTGGACATGAAAATCAAATAAAAAATAAGCTAAAATATACACGCACAGAGCACGAGTTAAACTCGTCCTTCGCTATTAATCCTGTGATAGTCTGTGGAATTCCAGAAGGACAAATTTGACTGGAGATTTGTTTAATTTCTGTTGAAACAATAATTACTTGCCCTGTCTCCATAGTAATATTAATAGGGCTTCCCAGTCAAGATTAAACACTTTCAGTCAAATGTAGACCAACAGATCTTTCTACAACAAATGCGGTGCTTTTTTATTATTATTCTTGCTGTACCTCAGTGTTCGTTATTAAGAGAAAAAAATTACTGCAATATACTAAATCTGGGATAGGTTTTCCCATTATCACAAGGTCCAAAAGATTGGATTGTTACTTTCTCTCTAGTGAGTCATGTAGTTCCTTTGTTCTAGTAGAAAAACCGATGCCTGTAGATAGTAGATACTAGGTATAGTAAATATTGTACCATTAGCCAAATTCCCTGCAGCTTCCGATTTATCTAACAGAAATGTCTGTTACGGTTTTTGTTAAAGACTACATAAAGTCAATGGCAGGAAAGGTCCTCATTATTGGACTGATTTTGCTTATATTGACAGAAAAATGTCACATGATACTCAGGCTGTGCTTTCTATTCAACCGTATCACTATAGAGGAATGTCAATAAAATCACTTTGTTATGGCATTGTGTGGACTGTCTATTACAAATAACTTACTTCATAGAGGATGTATTTTACTAGAGTGGTTGGAAACTGGCACTAGTGAAAGTCCACTGATTTAAGGAGTTGCTCTTCCAGGATCTTATCCTTTCTGACCTTTGCATTCACGCCCTTCCACCGCTTTCGTTCAATTTCTTAGGGTACGTGTCTAAAACTTGAGGTTCTCCACATAAGTGTGCATAACCAAAGGCCCCATGCCCTCCTAGACTACGCTAAGTCCA